TATATACTATATGTATTATTTTGTAACATCAAGTTGCTATAATCAATCCTTACATATTGGTCCATGTATCAATATCAATATATCAAAGTGTTTCTATCTATTCGTTTCTCCGTGATATTCGTTAATAAGCTCTTCAAGAATAGTGACGGAAGAGGGAGGGATGATAAAATGGACTAGAGACGTCTGTAACACTATTAAAGCATTTCTAGCGGGCCGGTTCAGACGGTCGCTGATGGTCGCTACGATTCCTATGGTAACGACGGCCAGCGGAATCGAGTATCTCTAAAATGAAACGGCGGCGGGCGGCCGGTGCCACTACACGCGCCTGCGCACTTCGTACGTATCCACCCTCCCCCTCTTTCCTTCCTTTCTTTCACGATGTGCGAGGATATGCTTCGTCTGGCCGCTTGAGCGGCCGGCAGTCACTAACGTTCTTGTTCGCGTTTCACGCGTATTGCGTGCGCCGTTGAGTATAGTGCATCGTCGACCTCGTCGACGGCCGTCATGGCGTGTCTCGTCATCGCAGTCGCCTTCGCCTTCGCTGTTACATAGTTACGTTACGCGTCGCGCCGTTACATAGTTACATATATCGCGCGTTTGTCCAGTGTGCGTGACGAAAAGAAAGAGAGATAGGAAGAACAGTATGCTGTGCTCCATGGTGTACTCGATTGGGTCGATTGGTGACGTTACGCGAGAGCGTACGAATTTTTTTGTCTGCTAGTCTCCGGAGTTATGATTTCATAATTCACATTGTTCCACTGAATCTTGATACACAGTTATCATGTTACATGTGGACAGATATGCTAGGTAAAGATCATTGTTACTAGTGAATCATCGGTTGCAGATTATCCTTTACTACTTATGCTAATCGATTTGAGATGCGCGCGCGCACGCACATACACGCACACATACATGCACACACACACACCTACATATGATACAATGATCGTAAATTCTTTGATATTAGTTATGATCAATGGAATGAACGAATGGTTTTGTTTGCTTATGGTGACGTGAAATCTCATCTGCTGTGGCAATTTTCATAAATTTCAGCCAAAAGAAAAGTATAAATATTTTGGAAAGTAACAGGAAAAGGAAAAGAAGTATTATTATACTTCATATAATTTACTTATGCAAAAGAAACTGATTGAAATTAATTGAAAATTAATTTTAGAACAATTAATTTAAATTGATATACATCGATTCTATTTGTCATGTGAGATAACACAATATTCGTCAAAAAACCTATAAGTGATTTAGAGTAAAAACTATGAAGCTCAGTTTAGATAAAGACGGTAATTGTTTCAATTAGAAGTAGATATATTTTTCTTTTTAATAGCATTATGTTGCATTTCTCAATTCTAAATAAGAAAGTTCATCTCTATTCAATAAGAAAAAGCAAGGAAAATGGAATAAAATAGGAATAAGAAATGGAATAATTTTCTAAAGTAAATTTTATATTTATTTTGACAAACTGTATATATATGTATAGATATATTACATCCTTCTTGCTGTGATAAAAGTTGTCACCAGTGCTGGAATAGATATCGTTTGAAAAAAATATTTAGATGTAAGTATAGGTATTGTGTTGGAAGAGTATTTAGTTACAAATATATATATGTGTGTGTGTGTGTTGTACATTTTCAAAAAATTACCTTGATATAGATACAGGTATAGCATAAAAGTATTTGTAAAATTTAAATATTTTTTAGATATTTTTAACAAAAAAATATTTAAATTTCATAAATTTACAAAAAAAGAGAAAACAAGAAGCTGCATAAAAACAAACTACATATGTAATATATATCTTATTTTTTATTTTCTTTGAGTCTTTAAAACTGTTTGCTTGACTTTATTCAAAAGGAAAATTTAAAAGTCTTTTGAAAAACACAAGAATAAAGAAAGAAGCACGAAGCAAGCCAAATAAGAATTAGTATTTCTTTTGAAAAAGGTATAAATAAAAAACTTAGTTTAGTTTTCGCTTAATTTTCAGCTTAATTTCAAATTTGTAATGGTATAATAGAAATGTAGAGAGTAACAAAACAATACTATTATACTTAGCGATGATGAATTGGGATTTTCTCTGCATCTGTAATTGGCTCTATAGAACTTTGATGCGTGGGACCAATCAGAGGAGACCGTGTCACGTGACCAGTTTGTCACTCTTTTCCTATGAAATTCTTTAATCGCTACTTATTAAATACTAAGGACTGAAATTATCTACGCAGCGAAGTAAATAAAAACATTTGCGTTTAAGTAAAATTAAAATAATATATCAAGTATAATTAAAATAAGTCCCACACGCAGAACACAATTCTCCAAGCGGCATCTTGAGAACATTATTTTTTGTACATGAATACATAAAGTATATAGATAACGTAGATAAGCAAATACGTGACATAAATAGATGGGAAAATAGATTAATAATGTAGACAATTAATAAATAGGTAACATATAGTTGAATAATGTATATGAGTAGGTAAATAATGTAAATAAGTAAATAGATAATATCGGCATGTACAAAAGATAGAAGATATAGATAGGTAGATGGATGACGTAGATGGGAAGATGAGATATATAGGGAAATAGATAACTTGTATAAACGAATAGACAATGTAGGTGAATAGATAGATACACAGATAGATAGATGATGTAATTAAGTGAACAGATAACGTGGATAGATAAAAGGATAATATAGACAGGTGAATATATATAGATGTACAGATAATTTATAATAATAAAAATCAACGTTATATATTTAGTGGCAAGGAAGCCAATCATATCCAAGGGGATTAGATTTTGGGATGACGATAACTATATTACTAATTTCTACAACATCAATAATTTCCTAATAAAATACATATCCTATGCTTTAATTAATTAAAAACAAAAATATTCTTATGTAACTTAAATTATAACAGAAAATATGAAAGCATGTGCTCATGTATAACTGCTTTTCATATCAGTATAACAGGTTTCCTAATCTGTATATAGTGGTCAAATTTAACGATTGCTATCTCGGTTCATAGGATAGAGCGACGCTTGTTTCTGACGACGCCAGATTTGGTTGTTTTGTGCAAAAACACGTCGAATGAGTCTAATTTTATCAATTTCGGACGTAAGAGGGCTAAACTTAACGATTTCTCGAAAAGTAACGAAAAAGTAATTACTCGTAAAATTATAAGCTGACTTAATCGATGTAAAGGAAATATATGTAATTGCATTCAAGAAACAGCGATTTGCAATGTGCAATTGTAGTAGCTTTTCATTTCATATACACTTAAATAATTAACACATTTTTTTTTTATACAAAAAAGTGCTATGTCACAAAAAATAACTCCGGTTCAGTACTTTTATGACCACTTTGAAAAATGCGTCGTTATTGATTGCCGTGATTTTCGCGGCGACACGACGCGACGGGGGAGAAATTGCTACTGTCGTTTTCGCGAACATTATGGGCGGATTGTTCTCTCCATCGCTGCGACACACGGGCGACTTCATCTTACTTTCACTGCGACTTCCTGATTGCGTATTCGTGTTTACTGCTCGTCTATTATTTCCGTGAAGACAAAATAAATAGTATAAAAATAATAAGCACTAGAATGTGGTTTTTATAAAGTAATTCCGAAATATTATGAAAATCGAAATTTTAATCCATTTTTGTTTACTAGGTATAATATATAGTAATAAAGAAGTAATTGCGTATACAAAACTCTAATGATATTATTCGTATAAAAGAAAAGCTGCGTTTCTGGGTCTGAAAAATCAATTCGGCGTGCAATTCAAATGACTACATATATAATATGTATAAAGACTGTGTTGCAAAATTTATTACTAGACTGAAAATTTATAGCGCACGTAAAGTAAACTATAGATTTTCAATATTGACAGTAATTTATGGAACTCAGCCAATTTTACATAGAATTATTTAAACTTTAAAGATCCAACTTTGACCGTTATGGGCTTTATTTTCTATTGGTTGTATAATATAATAAGATTCTTAATTATGTTACAAATCACTTTAAAAAAAAAAAAAACATAAATACGCATGTTATACAAATAGTAAGTTCATCGAGGTCGAAATCGACGATATTTGTTGTCAATCTGTTGTTCCGTTTTAGACGCTGTTTCGATGTATTCATTACCGAGAACGATGACAATGTGAAAAATAATATTCATTAGTCACGTTAGAACTGAAAATATGAGGACCGGTGACTACTGTTGACAAAAGTTGCTTTAGAAACATGAAAAAAGAAATAAATAATAACCGCGGCAGAAAAGCAAGAAACGTATTATTTTTAATATCGCTTTCGCGAATAAAAGAATATTTCAGAAGTGCATCCGCATATGGATATTGATTTGTCGAAAAATGAAAAAAAAACACGACGGAAGTCGCTAGTCATCGACCGATAAACATATCTTATTCTAAGCTTTCTTGTTGTTTAACTTTGAGCACCATTTTTTAACTTATAGGTCGATTGTTAATAGCCATTATTATTTTATGAAACTATTGAAACGTTTTCGTGATAAATATTTTTTGCCGTTATTAACTTAGATTATATACTGAAAAAATTTTTGTTATAAATTACAATTATGCTATTATTTTTTGAAACTTTCAGAATAATATTGGAATTATTAAGTATAATAAATAACATATTTAACATTTAGAAATTAAAAATTACTTTTAAGAGAAATGATTAATGAGATTACTACTAAGGTTGTTTTCCTCATAATAAAATTCTGTTGGAAAATAAATTAAATATTAAAAATAAATTAACAATTTGCAACCGATATTTCACGACGCAACCGTTTATACCTCCGTAGATCAATTTTTATCCATTTTGAAACCCAATCGAGTAATCAAACAGAATCTGTTTTTTCTAAAAAAATCTATTCCCAAAAGTCTGAATTTTGAGTCACATCAGTGTGTCTATAAAATGTTGATCGTCGTTGTTCAATCGTGAGAAATTCGGGACCAGAAATTGTGGATTCTTGCCATAATGTTACCGCCAATCATCGGCAATATTAACAGCAACGACATACTAACATTGTACAATTCCGATAATGGCGACGACAGAAACATGGTGGCAACACGAACAGTTAACAGAGGTCGCTATGCGGAAATTGGCGTTAGAAGGTAAATCAAGTTTTATAAAAGGAGAAGGAATCTAAGATATAAATAGATATTTCGACTGAACTTCCGAGAATAACTCACGCCTGGTTGTTATACATTTTGGCAGAAATATTTGGGTATTCAATTTCCTGCTCTCGCCGATCTATCGACTCTATCGATATGATAGATAGTAGCCATTTTGTTCTCTTACGATACTTTCTCTCGCTATATTGTCTCTTCATTACTGTTTTATACTTATACCTTTTAACTCCCTACTTTCCTGTGTATATATCTTTCCGCATTGCGATATTCGATAAGATATTTTAATCAGATTTTATTATGACACTATATATTTTTTTATACCACTGTAAACTACAACTTACTTCTGAATAAATTTATTTTCACGCGCGTTTTAAAGCTTCCAATTTTTCATGATTCAAGGAACAGTGTGCACCAAAATGAAAGCAGTCATTGGTAAAATTTTCTTCAAGAGTATAAATATAAATATATTTACACTCTGTAGTCTCTTATTTATAACATTAATTCTGTTTGATAAAAAATTCCCAAAAACTGTTATGAAAGCTGTTCCCAGTTTGTTCCATCTGCTCATGTTTAAGTCTATCAATCACATCTGATGATAGCTTTTTGTTGCTTGTTGTTTTCAATTACTTAAATACAGTACTCGCAAATGTCCCACGATTCGTCTATAAATTTGGTTTCGTCTAATTTGAATTCGATAATTATTGATAAACTTTTTTATGGTGACTGTTTCTGATTTCTTTCCAATTCTTATGTTAAATGAATCTCATTTTGAGGAATTTCCTAGCATTGAATCAAAGAAGTAAAGAAATAATATACCTCTTGTAACAGTGTAAAAACTTAGCATGCTTCTTCACAACTTTCTGCGACAGATTCACTAATTAAATTAAGGGGATCCTAAAGTCGTCTGTATTACCAACTATACCATATAATTTTTGTATCGCGCAAATACTTTTTTTCGTCATTCACAGATTCGAAATTCCTTTTCCAGGATCAAAGTATATGCATTAATACGTGTCCGTGAAGTAGAATCTATGCTAGAAACGACAAAAAATTTTGAAATTGAGTTCTGTACCATTTCTTAGTCCAATATGGCGCGCCAAAGCTGTCATGTCGTTGCACATTGTGACATTTGCTTCATATAAAAGCTATGCGATCTGTACTTTTACGAAATATTAGTGCACAGATTAGTAGTTTGCATGAAGAAAAGCGTGGAGTTCTTAAAATTCGATTCAGATGTCTAATTAAAATGTAATTACGATACGAAAATTTATGTAGGTATATGTGTGGCGTGCGTAAGTGAGATATTGATGTAGTGATGTCTAGTCAATCACTAGACGTAATCGTCTGTGTGTAAAGCCCAAGACAGCCCAAGACACAATGCGAGGGAATAGCGATAGCGATAAGTTTCAACTTATCAGAAATCGAATACACCGGAATACACATTTTTGATACTTCCGAAGTAGCCGATTCTTCTGATAGAGATTCTTCGCTCTAATAAGAAATAATATTACCATTTTAATATAATGTGTAAATAAAATAATAATCTCTTTATATATTAGAATAGAACACTTACAGCTTTATTTAAAAAAAAGTATTAAAGTTAAAAGATTTTTGTGCAGACTTTTGTGCATAATATATCCTTTTAAATATAATGCATGAAAAAATCATTCGAACATTACAACTTATACAATTAAGGAAACATTAGAATACCTCAGTACCTCACGTTGTGTCTTGGGCTTAAGTACTATTTACAGTATGACTAACATTGAAATATAATACTACTGGAATGAGAGCGCGGCTCCTCATTGTTTTTGTTAACAGTGGGTGCTTTCCAATTGATGACACAAATCGACACAAGTGTCGTTCTATCTTTGTCAATCACTAAATATCAAGAAAGATAGAACGATACTTGTGTCGACTTGTGTCATCAATTGGAAAGCACCCAGTGATTCGAGAGAGAGCGTTTCAAATATATATCTTTGTCCTTTTCGAAGTTATAGTATGCATGTGCAGTAAACAGTAGTGGGGCTTGTACAGTCCCGTGAAAACTTCAAATTTAGTATATGTAGCATGTATATGCATTAAGTGTAAAAACTGAATCTCAATTATTGTTGTGTTTAATATGTAGAACATAATATGGTGGAATATTATTGTATTAAAAATTGTAAGCAAGTAAGTAGTTGTAGCTGTATTTTGTAGTTATAATGTACGTTATTAATGTATAATTATCACTTATAAAATGAAATAAAGGCGTCAAGCGGTTTACCGCTCGGTGCGATTGACTCGCGATCTGTAGACCCGAGTTCAATCCCATCTATGATCAGACGCGATTTTTCGCGTTTAAGGAACCGAAAATGGCTCCACCTGATGATCAAAGATCTATATCAGCCATTCAAATTCGGCATTAAAATTTAGTGATTTTTTAATATGGATTAGTGTTCTTACCTTTAGTTCTTCGTTGGATCTAAGTGTATGAACCAATCATATTAAAGAAAAGCTAAGCGTTAACCGATAAGTCATTACAATTCTGCATGAGCTTGTGCAAGCAGTGGAGAAAGGGGCTTACTCTAACGCGGAAAGATAAATATTTATACTTTACGCTATTTCTTACGTTGTAAAGAAATTTAAATAAGTGACAAATTATAATTCTTTTTCTCTCCTTTGTTGTTGTAGGAGTGATGTCTTCTTGGAACCATATTTGCAACAGCACGAGACTGTTCAAGTGGTTTCACCGAGCACCCCACCGTCAAATTCACTCCAACATCAAGCGACGCAGTTACATCATGTACAGGTGAGTTGTTAAAAACACGGAAGACGATATAGAAAAAGCATTCTAATGTTTCCTTAATTGTAAGTTGTAATGTTCGAATGATTTTTTCATGCGTTATTTAAAAGGATATATTATGCGCAAAAGTCTGAACAAAAATCTTTTAACTTTAATACTTTTTAAAAAATAAAGCTCTAAGTGTTCTATTCTAATATATAAAGAGATTATTATTTTATTTACATTATATTAAAATGGTAATATTACTTCTTATTAGAGCGAAGAATCTCTATCAGAAGAATCGGCTACTTCGGAAGTATCTTCAAGATCAATGGAAGATTCTGGCAGTGAAGTGGCTTGTGATATTTCCCTACTCGAAAGGCTCATACGCTCTCACCCAATCTGGTTTTTGCCGGATATCCAGAGAGCCGGGGCCTTTCATTTATTACAAGGCAAAGAGGAAGGAGTAAGTGCTTGATAAATTAGAGTAGCTTCTCTATTCTCATTATTATAAACATATTGGAAGATTAATAAATTCTTATTCTTAATATTTATTCATTTTTAATTTTTATGATAATTTATACAAGAATAGGAACGATACCGATTTAACGACGTTAACTTCTGCAGAGTAGCAAAAATGAGATTTTCGTACCACCAATGTGGTAAACAAAACAAATTCATATTTGTAGATTTCTATTACGATTTTAGTATTATAGTTTTTGAGGTCACTAAATTCAAATATAACATTAAAAATTCAAAATTCAGATTGACAATTTTAATAGCGTATGTATTAATTAATAGTAAAACGTTCCCTCCCCCTGCTTTATTCATAAATCAGGATTATATAATTGTCAATCAATCGCCCATAATGTACGCGGAATTCAAACTTAGAAAATTTAAATAGATCACTTAATAAATAATGCCCCGTATTAAAGAAATAAAAGGAATAAAGATTAAATGTAACGCTTAATTTCTATTGACGTTTAATTTGCAATTCTATATATTTCTATACCTTTAATATTTAATATTTACTTCTATTCGTAGTACTTTTTCTGTTGTATGTAAGGTTTAAATCATTGTTTATTTAAATATTTTTTTTGTTGCAGAATTTTGTAGTGCGACAATCGAGCCATGGCAACACAATGGCTCTCTCAGTGAGATTACCTGTCGGAAAGGGACCTTACATTGAGCATTACCTGATACAGGCCAACAAGGGCAAACTAAGTTTGGAAACGAGTGAGAACAGGTTTGAAAATATCCCCTCGCTGATTGCTCACTACTCACAATGTTGGTAAGTGCTTTCTTTTTCTTTTTTTATTTATACATGGATTTCTGTCCCAAAAATAACAAACTATCTGTTTTTTCAGAATTATTTAATTTAATACTTTTTTTTACAAAATTATTTTGAAAATTTAACTATTTGATTAATTGTGTATCTTGAAACGAAGTTAAAACTATAAAAATAAACGAGTTCACTGGAATATTATAATATATTTACAATATAATTTCATTAGTATCTAATATAAATTTACTCAATTTTGTAACTTTCATACGTTGCAAGATATATAATAATCGATACTGCAATACGTAAAGAAAAATAAATAAAATTTATTTATACTCTTTTTAACATTTTTTTTACAAATTATTGTGCATCACCGTCGATATTTACTGTTATATGTTTTGCATGCATACAACAACGTGTTCCATTACTGCTGCAGGTTACAGATTAGGTTACAGACGCGTTAAGGTTAGACAGATATACGATATAGTTTTCTCTTTCTCTTTCTCTCTCTTTCATATATATTAGATTTTACTGAAACTACTATCTTGCATGCACAAGTCGGCTCAAATCGGCTCGTGTTGCGACTCTTTATTATCTAATAATCTTTAATAAGATTGTGGTATATTCATATAGTTGTAAATCGATCCACGATTGAAAAAGAGAGAGAGCGGGAAGGGGAGGGAGAGGGAGAGAGAGAGAGATCATTTCAGGCGAGTTAGATTTGCATCAAACTTTGAACCAATCGGATTTATTACATCGTGGTTTAAGAGAAGCGTTTTTCAAATGAAAATTAATTTAAATGCATTGGAATATCAATCCTATATCTCGAAACATTTGGAAATTATTCAGGTGGTCCGGGACTTTTGGCAGATCCTGCATATATAATGTTTGTGTAGTACTATTAATTTAAATAATAAATAATAACTTGAGTTTTCATATAATAGTTAAGAAGCAGGCTAAATGGTTCAATTTAGATCTTTAGTATTGAAACAATTTTAAATGTGCATTTCTGTGTTCATATATTACAAATCGAATCTTGTAAATTAATTAATTTATATTTACTTTTGTTTGACAAGCAGTGATGAATTACCAGTACAATTGAGTTTACCGAGAGCAATGCGAGAGGCAAAAAATAGACAACAATTGTCATCGCTGGCATTGCTGGGCCAAGAATTTTGGCGATATCCAATGGCGAATCCGAAGCAACCAGAAAGTAGTAGCAGCAATACGTCTAGTCTTGGTAGTTTTCATGGGGGTGAGTTTTTCCTAATAATAATCTGTATGAATAATTTTAAAATAAAAGTGAGACATAATAAATATTCTTTAAAAGGGAAAATTTAAAAGTAAAATTAAAATAATTTTTTTCAATATAAATAATGATTTTTTAATAATAATTACAAGTTTTATTGTAAATTAAATATTTGTTATTTTTGTTTATTAATTAAATGCGTGTTAAAGATTTATATTGAACTCCCAAATAGTTTACAAAGCTAAGCAGAAATTATAAACAAAAATATTTATAACATAATCCTTTTCTACAGATAACAATGGCCATCATATTAACAAGAGTAATAACGTGAATACGCCGACCACGGAAAGTATAGTGCTTAATCTGGCTCCAATATTGTTTCACAATATGCGTAAGATATTGACATTCTATTTTTTTCTATTTTTACAGCGTTTTCTTGAATTTATTACAAAGTTATTATTATTACAAATTTTATTTTTTATTTAAAATTTGATGACATTTTTTATTTTTTTAACATAAACAATTTTTTATTTAAAATATTTTTTACAAGATTGATTCTATTTTCTAATTCCATTTACGTAGTAAGTGTGTATATGTGTGTTTACTTATGTATGAATAACATTTTAATATTTTTAAATATATGTACTTTGTGCATACACACACATGTATATACAATTTCATATTTTGTAAAAAACAAATACAATATATCAAATGTAACACAATCATTTGTGTGTATGTACATATTTGTATTATTTTTTGAACTAGAATCATCAAAATTAAATATATACAGAATAGATTTGAAAATCTTGTCTGTAAGATAATGTCATCAAATAAAGAAATAAATAATGTAAAATATTATGAAAATAAATGTCATTATAGCTCGTGTAATGATGAAGAAGTAATAAATAATTAAGTTTAAACGAAAGCAATAATTATCGACATTAGTTGCAATTCTTAAGATAAATTTGTCTTATTATGATCCAATTTTTTATATTTAAATTTTTTATATTTTATCATAGTTTTTTAAAAATCAAAGGCAGGACAAATTTTTTCACAAAAAAATATCATAAAATCGTTTCAATCTAATTTATCACTTTAATCACTTTTTACATGTAGATACTCCTTCTCCGACGAATACTGTCAATGCGATCACCTCGAAATTTGTATCATCGTTGCCACGTCAGCCGCGTCCAACTCCGCCGAACACTCTCGATCTGACCGTCTTCAATGAGCCTTTGAATAATACTAAAAGGGAGCGAATTTTATCATCGAATGACAAACTATCTCACAAATTGATCTCTCCAAATCTTGTGCAAAGTGTGCGTTGTCCTTCGCCGGTGGTTTATAATGTGGAAAATAATATTCTGAATCCTAGACAGGATACGAGGAATTTTGACAATTTAAAAAACACGCTGGATACATCAAAATTGACAACGATTGAATTTACCACGAGTTCAAGGAAGCTAACATCCATTTCGACCTTTCATCAAAATAACCTATCGTGCCTCACATCACCAGAATTAGCGGATAGTAGGAATATCATTACTGAGAATCAAGGAGCTAGGCAAAATATGAAGACACCGCCACCGCCTCCACCAAGATGGGCCAAGTCTAGCATTAGTCAGAATCAGAATAATTTTACTGTAACTACGACGGTGACATTCAATATGAACCAGGGCAGTGATTTGAACACTTCACAGGTAAATTTTAAAAAGCATTCTACAAAATTTCATAATTATTAAGATCGTTTTTAACGTATTTTTAATTTAATAACACATTGTTTCTAATTTAAAAATACATAAATATAATAACGAATAAGTGAAAGTTATCTTCAGTCAAAACGAGTTTTAGTGTCTAATAATGCATGAATTTTTACAATTTCCAGTTTAAACAAATTGCGCGTCGATTATTTGTCGATCTTGAAATATGGACTTAAATTAAATTTACCTTGACCGAATATGCGATCTTCTTCACTCATTTTGTTGCCTATAGCAGATGTATTTTCTATATATACTAGTTATTGTGATTAATATCTTCACATGCCTCGGTGATGGAATCGATAAAACGCGCGCACAAAATTCGGGAGATTCAAATTTGAATCTCGACTGAGTGGATATTTTTTGTAATTATTTACAATGTTTTGAAGATTTATTATTAAGCCCTAAGATTCTCCTTGACTGAATATGGCCTTTTTCACTCAGTAAACTTTTCGGACTATTTTTATTTAATATAGTATAATAAATTTTCTTATAATATTCTAATTTTTTATGTCGACATGCTTTCATTCTATCTCATACCTTCTATTTAATTTGAAACTTTTAATATAAAGTTAATCTAATTTTACAGATACATGTATTTTATGTGTACTTATTATAATGCAATGTCTTATGTTGATTATTGTTATTACTATATAAATTACGGTAATTAATAACTAAAGAATAAATCATTTATCTGATTATTAATTTGTCATTTATGAGCCGTTATATTATAGTTAAATCATTTATCTTTACTACATTGAAATAATCGTAACTCTATTTCATCTCTCTTTCTTTCTTTCTCTTTCTCTGTTTGTCAACAGCAAAACACACCGTCGGATCCGAACACGTCACTACTGAGTCCTCAATCTGATAAATCTCTCAATTCCAATTTTTCCATTAAATCACCTCTTTCGCCTATTACTCCAGTTTTATCTCCTACTTCGAAGCTGATACCAAAAACACCCAATGTGCTCTCTCCAATTACTCCTTCTAGCACCAGCAAATCAAAAAAACGACGAGATCGCGAGAACCGGAAAAACTCTCAACACTATCAGGAATCGGACATCTTGAACTCATATTACTGTAGTTCACCGGCCGATAAGATTTCTGATTATGAAGACATCTGGAACACAACTGATCAATCAACACAGTCAACCTGGAATGACAAATTGAAAAATAACAGGGTCGCCGGTATTCCACAGAATTGTGTGAAAAATTCAAACGACCGTTTAATGAGTCCCAAAGAATCTGAAAGTCTTATCAATGAAAAATTTTCAGTACAAGAACAAATGGTTCTAAAAAATGATGGTTTTATTTTAAAAAACGATAAAATGGGATACAAAGAAATGACGAATTCAGAATTTAGTAGTTTTAAACCTGTTCCGGAGATGAAGAGTCCTGAACAGAACTCATCAGAAGAGACTGATATAGGAAAACAACCTGATCTGCTATCTAGAGTTTGTAAGAGTCTATTAGATTGTTATATAAAAAAAATTGTATAAAACGACATCTTAATATTAAAGTCAATTAAAAGAAAAAGATTTTATATTATATAAAGGAAAACCATGAAAATTGAAAAATTTTTTGAAAATTCATAGGATTTGATTCAATTTTTGGTATAAACGTTTCTTAAGGGGCTAGATACATATTCATGGTAACATTAAAGTTTACGTCAAAAGTATCCTTGGTACCAAATTAAGCATAGTGGACATATTGATGTGTGTATTAAAAATTAATTGAAGTAAGTAAATGGGCTTTAAAATTGTGACGTCTCCATAGAGGAAATCAAGTGAAGAATTAGAGTGTTTGTGTGTGTGTGAGTCTTCTCCAGAACAACTTTTTTTCTAAGTTATCAGATTATTAGAGCGCGCTATCGAAAAAGCCAATTATGACGAATTATCGAGTCGATGTTGGATTTCTAGGTATTTTTTTAGTACAAATATGACCTCGAATCTAGAGAACATGGAATTTTTTGGATCTCTGGGAAAATAGCGCTCATTTTAGGTAATTTGATACAAAGGATACATTTCGTATAAATTTTGACGTTATCATGAATATATAGACACTCTAATACGAAACGTTTGTACCAAGTTTCAGCCAAATTGTTTGAGTTCTCCAAAATTTTTTCTATTTTGCATATTTATTAATTTTATCAGTTACAATACATTACTAAAATTTTAATATTTAAGAATTATTAAAACAAGTATATTTATTTTTGTTATTTTATTGTTCTTGAATTTTATTTAATGGTAAAGGATATTATATTGAAAAAATATATTAAAATTAATAATATTTTCTTTTTTTATTTATTAAAAGTTTTAATATTAAAAATTGTTTATTTAAAATTTTTTTAAATAATTTAAGTTTAAAAATCCTTTTTTCAGGTAGTGCCAACTCATTGAATAGTCCTAGAATGGTGTCACCCCCAAGAAATAAATTAGGTCTTGTTTTGGCAAAATCGGAGAGCAACAGTCCTCAAACTCCCGAATCTAAACAGAGCAGTCCTTTTTATGCAGAACCAGCTGATACCATTGTTCAAAACGTCATTATAATTCCAAGAAGACGACTAATCAAAAATAATTTGACAATGAACAATTACCGGCATAGCGAACCAAGTTGGTTACAAACTCCGACAGAGAATGCTAATCAATTGCATTCTATTAATTGCTGGGAGGAACCATCCGAAGAGACAGAAGACAAGACGCCATTAATATCGTCATCAGTCGATAACTTAGCGAAAAGATTGGCTCAAACTAAGGAGACAAAAAAGATTCCTCGGGCGAAGCCTATCCAACCACCAAAGATCAAGACCAAGGTGTTTAATGACACTTCTTGGGCTGTCGATTCTAGCTGGGAGTTTATCGGTATGTTTTAATAGTCTCTACTATAGTTCTACCAGGGTTGGGAAAGTTTATTTTTAATTTACGTCAAAGTGCTACATTTTTTGTGTTAATTTTTACATATTAGGTCAATCGGAAAGTTCCGTCCGTTTTTTTGCAAAAAGTAAGATTTTATTTAAGAAATACTATGATCTATATTTCCTTCTAAGAAATTCTAAACTTAACGAAATTCTTTTACAGTACCACCACGAGTGCAAGCACTTTCAAAAAATCGTGATCAACTAAATGCGACTGGGGCGTCTATCAGAGTTTATGCTCTTCAACTTGCAGCAGATAAGACGACAACTTTCTCGCAAAATATTGACAACTTCATTCAATGCACGCGAGAGAGCAAGGAAGCGATTCCGCATATAGTAATGCGCAATATGCGCCAGTTCATGTCGGGTATGAAGAATTATCTTGTAAAACATGGCGAACGCGAATTCGAGAAAGAGGTGGAAAAAGAGCGACTGAAATTACGACCGAATGAATTTTTGAATCTTGATGCAATTCTCGAGGATGTGATGATGGGTCTGGTGGTACGACCCCTTCGAGAACACGTATGTCGACTGTTCAATGAACATTATATCGCCACTGGGGCATTGCAAACTCTAGCAGAAAATATTCAGCATGCCCAGGGAAAAACCATTCATGATCTTGGTGTTCAGGTGAGTAAATTTTCCTAAATATAGATCTATTACAATATATTTATATCAATAAATATTTAGAATAATTAGAAAACACTACAATAGCTTCATGAAATTTATAACATTTATATTAAATTAAGAAAAAAAAAACAATCAAACTTATTAAATTCTAATTGTTTTGCGTATAGTCGAAGATCGTACCTCCTTCTGAAGAAAATCTGGAACGGATTCTCAAATGCGTCGAGCGATTGCAGAAAGCCGATTCTCCACTTGACAAACTAGAACATTTATTGGCAGCCATCTCAGCTATTTTCAACTCCGTAAGTTTTTCTATATTTTTCTTCAAACATGTTATTTGTAGAAACGTAAACAACATTTTCGATAAATATTTTTAATATTTGTCAATCTTTTTGTTACTTTTATGTTACTGTTATTTTTATAGAAATTACTAAATATGTTGTACACTATACAGATATGAATATATTTATAATGTATTGTACATTATGTATTACATAATAAAGCGTTTATATGTATATCTGTATACTTAAAATTTTCACAACATTAACTGATTTACTGGCATATTCTGATAAGGGTGGTAAGAGATACGAAACGCAACATTAGTAACTATTAATGCTGCCAGTTTTACTTCTTTTACTGGTAGTAACCAAACCTGTTTTTGATTATAAGAAACGGTAAAAAAAATTACAATTTAAAACATTTTCTTTTTGTACTGTTCGGTATAAACTCCATCGCATAGACACGTATTATTGTGTATATTTTAACCCCAGAAAAAGATTTTTATATTTGTAAAAGAGGAAAAAAGTAATTGCGACAAAGTTGTAAACGTTTAATTGTAGAACAAACGATTATAGATCTCTTTAATTATGATTTTATAGGTAAAGGAAGCTAACTTGGGCAAGCATATTAGATTGAGCGCCGACGATCTTCTACCGTTGGTAATTTGGGTTTTAATACGTGGAAAAGTTGTGGACGCGGAGGTTGAAGCTGAGTACATGTGGGGCTTGCTACATGCTTCTCTTTTGAGTGGTGAAGGCGGCTATTACCTGACAACATTGTCAAGCGCAGTGCACGTTTTAAAGACCTTTAAATCCAATCAGAGCACCATGTCTACATTAAACGTAAGTAATAAATATTGCTAATTTTATATTTCTTATAAATCGGATTAAATTAATAGAGATAAATAATTATTATAACATCTATTTAAATTAAACATGTTTATATATAGTTACCGATATAAAAAATATATATTGAATATTCTTAACTCTTTTACAAAAAAAACCACCAAATTTCAATAAAATTGATAAAGGATACCTTTGTACCTTTTCTTATTAGTGCTGAAATACTATTTTTAATTAGTATACCAATAAAATTGAGTTTTCTTAGAAAATTTATGAAAATATTAAAATATTAAAATTCATTTTTGTAGGGATGTGGAACGCCGGACTGTTCATCTGTATTGCGGATCTTAGTACCAGATGAATTGCACGGTTCCTTAAATACTAGAACACTCCCGGTGAGACCCAATATGAATACTAGAGAAGTTTGCCGTATTCTTGCGCATAAGATTAGATGCACAAATCCTCAGGATTATGGGCTTTTTAAGCTGGTACAAGGAGAAGGTATGTACATTTAATATAGAAATTAATTTAATATAAGAAATATTACATTATAGATCACATACAATATATGGTTCAACTCGTCCGGAAAATATAATAACAGCGATGAAACTGTTTGTATTACTTTCATAAAGAGAATCAAGCTTTGACATTACTAAACTTTTAGTTATACTATTCTTCTCCTATTAATTAACAGTAGAGAAACTTTATTATCAATGCGCAATAGTTTACAAGAAATTATTGTTTAAAATTTTTATGTGCTTTATAATATATCCAGATTGTAAGATTGAATTGCAAGCAATAAGCAAAGTCGAGCAGATTAACTAATAGTTACAATACTGAAAATCTTGGTTTCGAGCGCAGCTTTCCAACTTTTTCTTCTGCATTTGTTAAAATATGCAATCAAGTGAAAGAGTATTATTAAAATTATTTGTATACTTTTAAACTGTAAGAAAAGTACTGTTATATTTTTAAAGAAAAAAGTAAACGAATATTTGTGCATGTTTGTTTAATAATAAATTAGTACTTATTGTTATTATTAGTCAAAAGGTATGAAAATAATTATAATAATTTTATTTATATATACAATTATACAACATTAACATAGGATATGAAGATGATGAAAAATTATATATTTATATTACAAAATCTTCTTTTGCAAACATAACTTTAATTTTTACTGTTACATTGAAAATCCCGATTGGAGTTGAAACGTCTGTGTGTATTATTTATATTTATATTAAATTTTGTATTATTTAAACTTTTTATGATTGTCATCATTTAAATTTAAATTTGTTTTACTGTCTTTTTGCCCTTCTTCTATATACATATATATTGTTATTATAGGAAAGGTTTGGTATAATAATAACATTTGTACATAATTAAATAACTAAACACATATTCTTATATCTATTTTAACTATTGATAACAGTTTTTGTATTACGTATATCTTGCAATTAGCGAAAATGTATGTTTCATCTTGTTTATTATGTCTCTATTTTTATTATGTTTTTTATTATACTTAGCACAAAGATAATTATTGCATTAATTTTAATTATTGATAATAAGTATTTGTCAATTAGTCATTAATCATAATAATACCGAAAATTGTTTTAGAAACGTTGCTCGGAGATCATGAATGCCCACAGGAGCTCTCTCACTGCCTTTTTGCCTATAAGCGAATTGATGCAAAGATAGCATGGCCCAAGACCAGCTCTTAAGTATATTTTACTAATTTAAAATTACTTTCTAGACACCTCTGTCATAAGCCAATATTACATTTCTCAAGATATAAGCATTATATGTCTTGAAAACAGAAAATTGAAAAAATTCTATAATATCTTTTCAGCAAAAATATCTCTTTCAAAATTGGATATTAAGTCATTTAATATCGTTTAAGTATTTAAGAATTTTTGACAGAACCATTTCGGTAGAAATTCTCTTAGCATTGCCATTTTTATCAGGCACTTGTCATATAAATCTAATCTAAATATGGATAAACGAGAATTTATCACTTGCAGAAATAATATGGATACTTAATTCTGAAAGAGAAAAAAGTAACTTGAATGAAATGGTCATCAAGAAAAAAAAAAAGAAATAAAATAAATTTTATTTAAATTTTTTAATTAATTTAAAGAGATCTTAAACAATATGATGTACAATTGTTAATTTTTTTTTATATTTTAATCCTCAGTAGTAGAGATAAATACAGTGTAATAACTTGGGTTTTATAGAGTATTAAAAATAATAATAAATTGTAATATATATATTACTTTTTTTACACTTTTTTACACAGTAGAATAAAGCAATGATAAGTATAGTATAAGATTTTCTTATTACTTAATATCTATATATGTATATATATATATGTAACAAGTAATGAGAGAGATGTATGTCTTATTCTCTTAAAAAAAAAAGTAAATTACTTTTTTATCATTTTTTAATCTTGATGAATTTTTTTAAATAAAATCATGTAAACGTGTATAAAAGCTTAATAAAAAAAATGAAGTTTGTAGATGTTTACGGTTCCTTTACATCTTAAATTTAAATTCTTTATTTAATATGTTTAGCAAAGTATTATAGAGATATGACACCTACTGAGGGTTAATATATTTATTTATACTAATTAAATATCTTGATGTCAGCTACAGCGTTATTGCAAATTAAATTATTCATAATCAATTTATCAACCGACTCGACGGAATTGACCATTGCTCAAATTGCATCAAATGTAAAAACAAAAGAAAAAAACGTATAATTGTGTACATGTGTGCGAAAAATGATAATTTTAAAATGCATATACATTTATAATTATACACAGGATACACGAGCGCGCGTGCGAAACACATACAGTCTCGTACTCATACAGTGTATGTTAAAAGTTTCGGAATAGTTAATTATTATAGAAAGTATTGGTATATTAGAAAAATGTTTTATACAAATGTTGTAGTTTTAATAAATGCATTAAATATCGATAGCTATTTGATCTTGAGCGTAAGTCTGGAGAAACTCTCAAAGTCAATTTAAAATTTTTTAATAGAAAATCACGCTTTATTAATATTCTTGAATTAAGATTTTTTCAAAACATTATAATAAATCTTTTAAATAAATTACGTACTGTTTTTTTGAGGTAAGAAAAAGTAAAGTCAGATAATAAATTTCTTTATATATAAGTCATTTATGTATAAGTCATATTGATGTGTATAATGACTAAAATTTATAGACGTTACAAATCAATATGACTTATACAAAGAAATTTATCATCTGACTTAACTTTTTCTCGCCTCTAAATCTTCTTTTGTTCAAGTGTTTTTCAAGATATGAGTCGACATTTGAACAAAGTTCAAGGTATCTGATTGGTGATTATGATAATGCTAATATATATCGGTGATATTTAAGTTTTGTTAATTTATTCAAAATACTTAATTTAATAAAAGGAGTATTATTGTAATGCTTGAAAAAAATTTCAATGTTCTTTTTAACGACTTTAACGGTATTGTTAAATTGTCGTTGAGGATCTTTTTTATTGTATAATATAAAACTTACACAATGATAATGTAACGATATTGTTGTAGGTTTCTTAATGTTAATTTCAAGAAAATATTGAATAAAAAAGTTGGACTTTCCATTAAAAATGTTAAAGTTGACTTTGAGAATTCTTCCACATTTGCACTTAAAATCAAATAGATATTACCATTGGATTAATTTGTTGGAACTCTACAATTTTTGTACGAAACAATTTTCCAATATAGCAATACTTTCTATGATAATTAGTTGTTCCATAACTTTCAACATGCAATGAATATGTATATACGTAGGATTGGGAAAATTATTTTATATTTTTTAAACAGAGAATTTGTTTTGAAGCAAAGAATTTGTATTTTTAAATATTATTAATTTTACTAAAACACTGCTATATATTTTTTAAAATTAATTTTTAAAATATTCTTTTAACGAGCGATGGTTAAAATTTCCTTAAAATCACTTTTAGGGTCATAATCTTCACAATACATGTCAAGATCGAGGTCATTGATGGAGATTTCCCTCATTTTCATTTTTACTATTAAAAATATGTAACTCCCATATAGTAGGGGAGACCGGATCTCATTGGCATAAGAGATAATAAGTTGGCATTACGTTCAGTTTATGTGGCAAAAGAAACAATGGAAAAGTTACTGTAAAATATGTTTTTTATAACATAGGTACTTATCCTTAAGTTTCATTTAATTCAAACAAGTATTATAATAAAAAAAGAGAATAATGTAATTCAAAGGGTACGAAAAGTAAATTTTCGAGCTTTTCAATATTTCGTATTAATACTTCTCAGCTTGAGAAAATAAATCTAAATAACGTATTATCAGTTAAAAGAAAAGTTTTTGTTATTATATCTATATATATACATGTTATTTTGAGTGATGATAGTAATTTGTTATAATAAAACCATTAAAATAAAATGTATGTGGAGATAGAGTACGTTGACTCATATTTAATGCAACTTATGCAAGGTCAGCATAGGTTAGCATGATATGTTATCGTTCGTACTTCGCACGCGAAACTCGTGAGAACAATTTCGATCGGAATCCATTCCGATTTTGTTCCATAATAGGTACCTATAATCTCTCTTAAGAGGTCTTGATATATGTATACTATGAGCAACTTTTCCCATGGTATCTACTTATCCCACTATTATTGGAACAAGCTGGCTGCATGAATGCAGCGTGTTTGTATTGCACTTAATACAAAGAAACTGTACATTATACAGAATCGTTTCTAATTCAAAATGTATAGAAAAAAGGTTCTTTCTAACATATTAGCATAATTTAATCATAATAATCAGTTTTTTAAAGGACTTAATGCTGAAATTGTGAAAGCTGTGCCAACGAGACCCGGTCTCCTCTACAGATTATGCAAGCAATATTGCACTTCCTGATTGCAACATTCCAATAATATTGCAGTAACACTGGAAATGTTGCAAGCTTTTGTGCTTTATGGAATTAAGTAATACAGTTATTACTTTATTTAAAAATCGTAAAACTGAGGGGGCCATGACAAAAGATATAAGCAGTAAAAGATGTAAGCAGTAAAGAAATCAACGTGTTGAATTGGCTACTGGTTACTTAAAAGGTCTTTACTGTAATTGGACAATTTGCTTATTGTTCAAATTTTTTTTGTATGCCATGGCTCTAACTATAACTTTGTTATTATAAGTAACAAATTAATTCCCAAACCTCGTATATAATATACGATGTATTGTGAAAGGTCGTATTATATGCATTTGCTCAATATTTAATGTCTTGTGGACGTTTGCAATAAAAAAAAAGGAAGGATGCTATTTGGAAGTGAATTTTTTATGAAAGAATAAAGTCAGATTTATAAATCCAGAGAGCATTCGTGGGGGAGGGAAAAGGCATGATAATAAATTAATTTTATTACTAAAAGTGAAACAGCCCACGTAACACACCAGCGCGTGTAAAGCGCTTTCGAAGCGCTGTTCAGATTGCACCTCCCAAAACTGCTGTTAATTATGCACTTTTATTGCATGCGGATAACTCGACTAATTTCAAGTCATATTGCAGACACTGTTATACGACATGGAAAGTGTAGTAAATGTGCTATAAAACTGTATTTATTCTGCGCTGATTATATACGCTTATAATGCGCTTTTCATAGTGGATTTTGAAAGCGCTTTTAAAGCGCTAAAAAGCTGCTAAAGTAATGCACCTGCATACGCGCTTTTTTAGCGCTTTTTAAGCGCTACTGTGCTACGTGGGAGGGCTACGAGCCAACGAATTCTTTAAAATCTTTAATTTATTCTAATATAATTAATTTTATCAATTTGTAAGTAATTTTATTAATTTGTAATTACTAAAACAACTTGATGTCTTATCAATTAGATTGGATCATCATTATTATTTATTTATTCGTCGTTGTATACATGAAGTCAGTGGCATAATAAGTGGATGGGACTAAGATTATTCAAATTTCCATATTGATTCGGGACTTCCTTATACATTTATGAATTATGTAATCATACAAGAATACATTTCTTGCCTAATATTTTATTTCGATGCAAATTTAACATAATAAAATCCACAATCGTTCTTTTTTTTGTTGTGGTATATTATGTGGAATAAATTTATGCTTCGTTTCTAGTTCTTTTTTCTCTGCCTAATTTCAATTTAAAATAAATTTAAGAAAATTTATTTTGGTACTTACATTTCAAAATCTATGCTAGAGAATATTTTTAAGAATTCTGTTCTATTTATGGCTGTATCTTGTAGTAATTCAATTAATATAATAATACGTTTCTGTATTGCTTAATAAATGTATTAATTTTTGACCAATTACTACTTTTTTTTGAAAAGAATATTCCTTGAAAAAAAGTAGAAACTTAATATAGTATTACTTAATATAGTATTAATAATGTACACTTACTCCCAAAAAAAACAGTACATAAATTTGGGAAAATTTACCAAATTAAAAATGATCATAATTTAGTAAATAATGAAGATAAAAATATATTTAAAAAAGCAAAATGAAGCTTGAAATTATTTAACTTTAAGATTATTTGAATGGGAATTGTACTAGGCCATTAGTTTCAAAATGGCGGATGATAAAGTAACAACATGCAAGACTGATAATAATCAGAAGTCCAACTTTGCGATGCTGCATGGTGTGAACGTAAAAGTATAGAATTTTATCTTTAAAATGATTTTTTACCGATCTCGATACAATCTTTTTTTTTTGTTGAGTTATTCCAAATTT